AAATATGCAGCAACGTAACGCATCTTCTTGAATCAAATTAAGGTAATACGAGCCCGGAAACAAGATTTTGAGCGCTCATGCGCAAGGGCTGGCCGATCCGGATAACCATACAGCACAAGCCCCTATCCAATCATCTCGTTTTCGGACTATCCGAATTTCAGCACCCACTTCCCGCCACCAGTCTGGCGTCCTAATTAGGCACATTCGCAAATAGTCTTAGAATACACTATTCAGGAAGATTGCCGCGCGATGCTTCCTCCCCTGCTCTCGCTGCTCCTAGAACTCGATACAAGCGTGAAAAAGCAAGCACTAATCAATAATCTTCTCGTCATGAAGGGTATGCGGCGCTATCTTCTGCACAGCATACCCAGCGCGGCTGTGGGATGTTCAGGATCGCGTTAGTCGTTACTCACCCACGCCTCCACGCCTCCACTGCACTCGACAGCATCTGAGCCTGACAACAGAGTTATTTCGCGCACGTGCATTGCCAAAGCAAGGAAGGAATGAGCACACAACGCTGCCAGCAGCCTCTCGTGGTGCCTACGTACCTCACAGTATATCGGGACATTTACAAATACTGTACTATAGCCAATCAAAAGCCGTCACGGCATGCAAGCAGCGGGTTTGTATACGTAGGTGTAGGGGACGGCGTTGGGTGGCCAATAGCGCGTGCCGACCGCGCGGCATTCCCCTCAGTGATTATTATCAAACTTTGCTGTTGAGATCAAACATGGCCCCTGCTGTAAGTGCTTATTCATGACGACGAACGGAGCTAGCTGCAGAGTCCTCTTCTCTGCTCGGGCTTCTTCGCCAGTCCTCCTCACCTTCGTAGCCACGGAGTGATGGAAGGGTGGGAAGAGGAGGTCCGAGGGGGATGGGATGACGCCGCATGCAAACCGACGGCGCCTTGTGCGATGAACGTGGTTGTGACGTCAGTGTCTCTTAGACCAAGACCGCCCCCAAGACTGGCAAGAAGAACTTGCTTAAGTTCACGATCGACTGCTCGACGCCCGTCGAGGACCAGGTCTTGGACGTTGCTTCGTTCGAGAAGTTCCTCCACGACCGCATCAAGGTCAACGGCAAGACCGGTGTCCTCGGCGACGTCGTCACGATCTCGCGTGAGAAGACCAAGCTCCACATCGCGGCCGTCGCTCCTTTCTCGAAGCGCTACCTCAAGTACTTGACCAAGAAGTACTTGAAGAAGCAGCAGCTCCGCGACTACCTCCACGTCATTGCCTCGGACAAGTCGACGTACGAGCTCCGTTACTTCAACATCCACAACAACAAGGATGAGGATGCCGATGAGGAATAAGCGATCTAGTGCGACGTCATTGTACTCAATAGAATGATGATTCTCTCAGCATACACGCGCGTATTTATCATTCGCCTTGCCTTCTTCACATCAAATGCATTCGTCGCGGCGTAGCGTGAGCCGCAGCTGCCCACCAATTCGCATCGATGGACCCTTGATGCTTGTTCCTACAACTCTCCATGTAACTCCAAGCATCCCCTTCGCTTGAGTTTCCACTGCCCGATGTGAGCTCGCTTGGGCGTGTCGACAACCAAGCCGCCCTCAGTTCTGGCCCAATACACTGACAAGCAAGTGCTACTGGCGTTCGCGTCGACTTGAGGCCGTGTACGCTTCTCGAGTTCGGTCGCAGGGGCGAGGGCACTGAGGTGAAGAAGAGGCTAGGTGGAATAGCTATATTGCATATAACCAAGTGATTGATGTTCAATTAGTTGATGAATTAGTTGGAATTAGTTGTAGCATCGATCGAGTATGTGTACACACGTACACCGAATAAATATTAAGTACCGTAGTGTACACGCAGGCAAGTGGTGGCTGGTGGTGGCTTACTTGCCCTTCTTCGTCGATGTCGCCTTCGCGGGCTTGGTCTTGCGGGGATGGAGGCGGTCGTGGTGCGCGCGGCGCTGGGCATACTCTTTGATTCCGTAATAGTCGTTAACTTCTTCGAACGCATCCTTCTCGATGTCGTTGCTGCGGGTGGTGGTCACTGGCGCATCGTCCCGCAACGCCTTGGCTGGGGGGAAGAACTCGAAGGGGACGCCTTGTCCGGCGAACGGCGCAACGAGCACGTCACTGTACGAGCGACAAGACGGGTGCGCGCCATCGTCGTCAGCGACATCCCAGTCGTCTTGCACGACGACCCAGTCAAGCGAGCCCACCGAAGCAGTGTCTTCTGCATCGTCGTGAAAGCTCCACTGTTCGTCATCGTCGTCCGTGTCGGACGGGGCAGTGACGACAGGCGCCGGGGCCATGAGACCGCTTAAGGCTTCTGCGGTGCTGCACACATCGTAGTTTTTGGCAATAAAGATGTCTTGGACGATCGCAGCATCGACTTCGGGAAACGCCGTGACGAGCATCTGCAAGTCGGCAGATGCGTCAGTCGCCGTCGCTGACGTCTGCACCTGGCGGTGGCTGGCGGCGTGGCCATGGTCGAAGTTGTAGTTGCAAGCGTAGCTGTCCATGAGCTCGTCCTCAAGCTCCATGGCCGAGTACTTCATGTGGTAGTGGGACGTAGCGCCCTTGTGCGTGGCGGCGCGGCTGCGGTGGTGGTACATGAGACCTACGGACATGTTGGCTTGGCTGGGATCGCGAATATGCCATCGACTTACGGGCTTTCGGGCGACTTCGTGATGTGAGAAAATTCACCGGCCAAGTAAAACGTTCGAGCGAGGTCGCGTATGATTGGTCTAAAAAGTGTCGAGCGCGACGCTGATTGGTCGTCGCCTGGTTCTCGCGGCCCAGCCGAGAATGATGGGCGACCGTCATTCGGTGAGTCGATATTTTTATCCGGTGCGTTCATTTAATTGGTTAGCAATAGTGTACTAGTCATAGGTCGCAGGCGTCACGGATCTCCATTTTTATATTACGACTTGATAATTAAATGAGCGAGACCAGGAAAGATCCGTTGATCGCGGCCGGCCCATCGCTTCGACTGACTACGCAACAGTTCTCGCAACCCAAGTATGCGCCAGTACCATGGACTGCTGAACACGCTTGCACACGGGACGTAGGCAGCAGCGACGTGGCACGTCGTCGCATGAAGCCGGTCACCCTCGCCTCTTGGCGGTTATGCTTGGAACAGCGAAACGTAGCGAGAAACTGCCGCGTATCACCGACGGACTTCGCTGCACGGTACCAGATCCTTCGACGTGGCTTCGATCACGTTCGCGAGTCTCTGTTGCCATCGAGAACATGTAGACGGGTCGGACGAGTCGTGCGCGCGCCGACTCTGCGCCAGTCCTGCCAATCACACGCAATAGACCTACAGTCTTGCGTGCGTTGTCAGTGATGGTCGTGTTGGCAGCCAGGTCCCGCCGCGTCAGGACGCAGGCGCGCAGCATGTCCAGCATCTCTGCAAACTGTGGCTTGTCTATCCGGCGTAATTTGCCGCGGTATCCGGACATCGAATTTTAGCCAATCCAAACAACGCTCGTAGCCCGACGAGATGCTGCCCGAGGTCGAGCACGACGAGTCGGTCCCGACCGAAGCCGAGATGGAAGACCTCACGCAGTCGCCGACAAGGGACCTGCAGTCGCTCATCCCGCTAGACTCGAGCGCAGTGAAGAGGACGGTGAAGCCGCCGCCGGTGCTGACGCTGCGCCCGATGAACAAGGACGTCATGTACGGCGCGCTCTTTGCCATGCAGTGCCTCATCACGATGATCCTGGTCGTCGCGAGCCCTACGTACTCGCAGCCGCGCCCCGACGGCGTCCCGTACATTGGCGCCATGGTCATCGTCGGCACGATCTACAGCCTGCTCTGGGTGGCGTTCTTCTTTGCCGCGCCAAAAGACCTCTACATCCGCGTGTCGACGACGCTTTCGTTTGCCGGCGTGGCGCCCATGGCGCTGGTCCTCCTTGTGAGCCCAACGTGGACTGGCTTCTTTGTGAGCCTTGGCGTGCTCGCCCTCGCGTTCTCAGACTTTATTTGGACCCGCAAGAACAAGCTCGGCTTCGACTTTGTCGCGGTCGTGTTTGAGCTGGTGGCTCGAAATGCTGCGCGCGTCGCCGGCCGTGATTGTCGTCTCGGGCGGTATCCTCCTCGTCTCTAGCATGTGGTCGTATTGGTGCTGCCAGCTTCTTTCAAACGTCGGTGAGGACGACGGCTGGTCGATCGGCCTTCTTTGGCTCTTGTTTCACTTTTACTGGACGTCGCACCTCTTCAAGACGCTCATCTCTGTCGTGGTGTCGGGCACGGTCATGTACTGGTACCACCACTGGGGCGACGACCAGCCCGAGTCGCCGACTGTGCCCATGGTGCTCACGTCGCCTCGGTCGTCGCTTCGCACAGCGTCGATCGAGATGGAGCCCAAGACGAACGCGCCATCAGCCAACACGATTGTCTTGCACTACACGCGCGTGGCCATGACGTCAGTCTTTGGCTCGGTCTGTCTTGGCGCGCTCTGCAGCCCCATCGCCCACTTTTTCTGGACCGTGTTGCGCATGGCGAAGCGCGACGGCTCGTACCGCTGGCTTCGCGGCGTCGTGCTGCCGCTCGCACCGCGCATTGATGCGTTCACGCAGCTCTACCACAAGTACACGCTGAGCTACGTCGCGGCGTACTCGCAGTCGTTTTACGTTGCCGCTGCGGAGGTCTGGAGCCTCTTTGAGGAGTGCGGTATCGAGGCCATGGTCGACGACGACTTGACGAGCCGTCTCCTCTTGTTTGCTGCCAACAGTGGCGCCGGCTGCATGGGCACGCTTGCCAGTCTCGTCCTCTTTGGCTCCCACTTGCAAGTGTACGGAACCGTGCTTAGCTTCGTGGTTGGCTACTCGGTGAGCTCGACGGCGACCGCGATGCTCAATACTGCTGTCAAGACGCTCTTTGTGTGCTTTGCGCAGAACCCCGACCGTCTGAGCCAGCTCAACCCTATCATTTATCACCGATACGTCCGCCTCTCGGAGCTCAAAAACTTCAAGGAGCGCCGGTAGATACGCGTAGTAGTAGGTCGTTGCACACGAAACAAGATCTAGTTCGTCTTACCAACTATTGATGAAATATGTCGCGTCAAGGGTCGTGCTTGGCCTTGGTTGACTGACGACTGTGAGTCAAGATTGCTTCAGTTGCTTCAGGATCAGGAGATGCCCACCCACGATCAATTGGATTGGATGAAATGGCGGCCTAGAACCATGCACACACGCGCTGATTCGCGGAATTTCGCACATATCCGCCAATCACGACACGCTTACGATGACGGACTCGTCGATGATGCTGGCGTTGCGCCGATACGACGGCGAGGCCGCATGGACCGATACTTGGTGCGGCGACCTTCAATGCTGATTGCCATCCATTCACAAGCATCTCTACGGTAGCTTGACCAGCGGTGCGAGCTTATCTGGCATCGTCCCGGATGGCGACGGAAACGCGCAGCTCTCGTGCTACGCTTTTCCCAACCACAGCCCGGACGCTGACACGCTGCTCGTGCTGCGACTGCCCGGCTCCAAAACTCCGTCGCTTGTGGCGTCCGGAGTACCTGCACTGCAGTTGGTATCCCAAGTCCAAGATTGCTTTCCTAGTGCGTCGCCCTCGCTAAACAGCAATAGCCTCATGCATTGTAGCACTCGTCAAGGTTCGCCCCATGACTTCGTTCGAGAGCGACACGGAAAGCGATGACGATGAAGATGCCGTGAAGGAGCGCAAGCGTCGAAAGCTTCTTGCCAACCCGACGACACCGGCGCCACTTGACGACGACGTGGCAATCGAGGCCTACTGTGCTCGATGGGAGGCCAGCGTGCGCATCGTGAGGGAAGATGCGCTGCAAGACGAGCTCGAGCGTATGCAAGTCGACGCTGCCTCGGTCAAGCACGCTTTCTCCACTGCAGTGTACCGTGCCGCAATAGCATGCATCATCCAATGCGTTTCAGTAGGCCGGGGTACTACCTACTCGCCGAATTACCGCCCGTCTT